AGGCAGAGCTCTGAGATTAAGCCCAAGGACATCCTGGTCTCTCTAGCGAGTTCCAAGCCAGCTGTGGCTATAGGGAGATCCTGTCTTAAAAAGGAACCCCCCCAAAAAAAACTTTTTATGGAGAAAATTGTAAAGGTGTCAATCTGCTTGAGATGAAGGTATTAAAACCTATCTAGTATAAGCAAAAATAGCAGGTATTATAACTTTTTCTTACATATTGCTTACAATTCATTGTACCAAGTTTTTAAAATTTGCACATTTATCCTCAACCAAAAATTTGCCATCATTTGAGTCTTTGCTTCTTCCTTGTAAGAAATGTATTTTCTATTATCAACTGTACATAACAGATCTTTTTTTTTCCTTTTGGTCTTTTTCAGAGACAGGGTCTCCCTGTAGCCACAGCTGCCCTGGAACTCCCTACAGAGACCAAGCTGGCCTTGAGGCTGGCCTCTATCTCATAGAACTCCACCCACCTCTGCCTACCGAGTGCTGGGATTATAGACATGTGCAATCACCCTATCACATAATGGATCTTTACTAAATTTCACCTGGGAAATTGTTTGAGACTTTCCTGTACATTGAAGATAGTAAAAGATAATACCTGAAAGATTTAAGAAGCATTTTAGAAGCACTTATTTTAAAACTATCTTGTTTTTGAATACAAATAAATTTTCATGTTGAAGGGCTAAGAATTCTCTTTTTAAATGAAGCGATAGCAAACATATTAGGTCAAATGAAGCCTCAGATATCAGACACTCAAGTTAATAATGCCATATTTTATCAGGAATGAAAGCCTAGGATCATTATCCTCAAATGCTGATATGCCTCAAACTTTTTAAAAATTTAGATCCAATCTACTTAGCCTATACTTTCAAAGTTAGAATTTCTAAGGGTGTGATCCAGCTACCTGCATTATTATTTGTACCCCAGGTATACTAAAAATATACTATAAGTGAGAATATTGGTGTCTTTTGTTAGGACCCTTACAGACCTATATAATTCTTTTGCCTTAGAAGTAGAGTCTTGTACCAGAGAGTAGTTCTGGTCCACAAATGAATAGAGCATGGTCCATCACGGCCATGACATTTTCATATTCTAGTATTCCTCCACAGAACTGCCTGAGCCATGTTAATCATGGAGATGAGAGGTTTGTGGGAGCCACTCCACACGTGAACATTCTCCCAGATGTAACTGGGGATGAAATTACAAGATACTTTGCTAATAAGGCTGTGCATGTGAATTATTACTTCAGAAAAAAAGCTTGATGGTACAGATGAAGAAGTACAAAGAATCTTTCTTCCACTGTCGTGTGTCAAGGACTTTCCTGATAAGCAAAATCTTGTTACCTACTCTACTGATTAGCCTGGAAGTAAGTGGGATGCTTTTATTCAATGTATGTCATAAGGTCAGAGTCTGTGGCTGCCAGTCTGGCTGTGCTGAGTGAGTCTGGCCAAGGAAAAGTTGCTTTTGCCTCAAAGCAGGCTGAACTCAGAACAAGGCTGCTGCCGCCTCAGAACAGGAACAGAAAGAGTTAATCTTAACAACCCTGGCTATAATCTACCTTTGGGCATGCTGACAACACTGAAGAGAACACTACTCTTTAATGAGCATGCTCAGACCATTAGGAGTTTGACCCCTAGTGACCCACCACTACATTGCTCAGTCAGTCAGTTCCAAGAATAACTCAGACTGCATTTATTTCTAAGCAGAGTAACGAGATGTCTGCTTACCCATCCAGATACGAGCACCCACACAGGTGCTCCACCGAGAGCAGTATGATACTGAATCACACCACCTGATTGCCCACACAGAAGCCCCCATGGAAACAGCCCCTCAGGATGCCTCCATGAAGACAGTTTCTCTGCTGTCTTGCTCCCTGTGGCTGGGCTGCAGAGTTTCTGCCTTCTGTTGTCTCGGTCACTTCTTGGAGCCCACACATCACTGGACTGTCATCAACTTCATGCACCGCAAAAGTTTCCTAGCATTGCCAATGGATAGAGAAGGTAATCTCTGTCACATAATCCGCTACAATGCTCGGTATTTCTTAAAGGAAGCGGTGTTTCACACTTCCTGCTGAGCTTTGCCAGGCAGAAGCCAGAGTCCTACCTTAGCAGAGGGGATCAAAACCTGTGCAGATAAGACCAGGCATCAGAACTGAAAGAGGCCACAGTGGTTCTCATGGCTCCCAGCAGTGAGAACCTCACATTACAGGACAAGGTCAGTGTAACTTTAGACTAAAGATAAGACCTTGCAGTTCAACAAAAACAGCAAACAGCTGCTCTGGGAAACCCATCAACAAGCATTCAAAATAATGTTTTTCAAGACCCTTTTGTATGTGGGACTACACTTAAGGCTTTGTGGACGCTAGGCAGGTACTCTACTACTGAGTTACAGCTTCAGTTCTCTTTTTACTTTTTATTTTGAGACAAGCAACATCTGACTAATCTGCTCAGCTTGACTGTGAATCCACTATGCATCACAGGCAGACCGGAAACTAGATTCTTCTGTCTTAGTCTCCCAAGTATTTGGGATTACAGGTGTGGCCCACCATGTACAGCTTAGAATATATAACTCTTGGGTCGGGTATGATGGTGCACAACTTTAATTCCAGCACTTGGGAAGCAGAGGCAGGAGGATCTCTGTGAGTTCAAGAGGTCAATCTGGTCTACACAGCGAGTTCCAGGCCAGCTGGGTCTACAGGGAGACCCTATCTCAAAAAGACCAAAAAGACACTAATGTCACTATAATCAGTAAAACAATGGAGTTAAAAGCAACCCCAAATGAACTGTTAGTTTTGTAACTTCAAATCCTGACATTCACTAGCATTTGAGGAGGCTGTGATAACCAGATCCGTCCTGGAAGTGCAAACTAGGATTTTATGACTAAGTTCTCTTCAGTCTGGCTCCCTCCCCTTCTCCCTTCCTGATACACAAAATACCAGCAAAAGCAGCAGCCCCTATAAACAGAAAGCTGAAGTTTATTATTATTAGTTATTAATATTATTACTACTATCATTTCTGTATGTGTCCATATACAAATTCAGACATGTTTGTGCCACAGAACACGTGTGCCACAGAAGGTCAGAGGACAATTTTCAGGAGGTGGTTTTCTCCTTGCACTGCAGTAACTGGAGTCTAAACTCAGGTCATCAAGTTGTGCCCACCTTGACTTTTTTTAAAAACATCGTGGACTACTGGTTTTAGCTTCTCTAATTTCTCCCATGAAGGCAGAATGTTGGTTGCCGCTTGTCAGTGCTGGACATTCTGAATGGCAGGCACAGCTAGTTGCTTCTCTGATACCAACTCATCAAAGCCTCTCACCAACAGAAGAGTGACTTTGTTTGCAGAAGCAGTGTGTAAATATGTCAAAAACACACATTTCACCAGACCCATACACAGCAAAGAGCGGTCATGTGACACAGATTTCATTTTTCGGGGACAGACCCTTTGTTCTTCCTGCCTACCTGAGGTAGGTGTATGACCTGCAGGAGGCTTCAGATGTCTTGCAACCCTGCAGACACAGGCACATGTGCACAAACCTACAAGGGCAGAGATTGGGGGTGGGGGGCACTCTTGAGCTAGTCTTGTTCTACTAACTTTGATTGTTTGAGTACATGTGAATCCTTTATCTAACTCAATTGGTTGGAACTTGATGTTTATTCATAATAATTAACCCTCACAATCTTCTAACTAATCTTCCAAAAACCTAAATGACAAATATCTAGCAGTATTAAAAAGAGGAAAGGATATGTCAAAGGATGATAAGCCCCTATAAACAGAAAGCTGAAGTTTATTATTATTAGTTATTAATATTATTACTACTATCATTTCTGTATGTGTCCATATACAAATTCAGACATGTTTGTGCCACAGAACACGTGTGCCACAGAAGGTCAGAGGACAATTTTCAGGAGGTGGTTTTCTCCTTGCACTGCAGTAACTGGAGTCTAAACTCAGGTCATCAAGTTGTGCCCACCTTGACTTTTTTTAAAAACATCGTGGACTACTGGTTTTAGCTTCTCTAATTTCTCCCATGAAGGCAGAATGTTGGTTGCCGCTTGTCAGTGCTGGACATTCTGAATGGCAGGCACAGCTAGTTGCTTCTCTGATACCAACTCGTCAAAGCCTCTCACCAACAGAAGAGTGACTTTGTTTGCAGCAGCAGTGTGTAAATATGTCAAAAACATACATTTCACCAGACCCATACACAGCAAAGAGCGGTCATGCGACACAGATTTCATTTTTCGGGGACAGACCCTTTGTTCTTCCTGCCTACCTGAGGTAGGTGTATGACCTGCAGGAGGCTTCAGATGTCTTGCAACCCTGCAGACACAGGCACATGTGCACAAACCTACAAGGGCAGAGATTGGGGGTGGGGGGCACTCTTGAGCTAGTCTTGTTCTACTAACTTTGATTGTTTGAGTACATGTGAATCCTTTATCTAACTCAATTGGTTGGAACTTGATGTTTATTCATAATAATTAACCCTCACAATCTTCTAACTAATCTTCCAAAAACCTAAATGACAAATATCTAGCAGTATTAAAAAGAGGAAAGGATATGTCAAAGGATGATAAGCTTTCCCAAATAAACCACTCCATGAACTTTACAAGATCATCTGCTTGCTGGGGGCTTCCTATTTCATGGAATAGCTGAGATCAAGTAGAAAGGAATTCCTGGAGTTTGTTTTGATCCTCATTTTCACCACCGAGAATAACAGACAATGGAGCCTTGAGTAGGGACAAGAAGGGAACGAAATCGCCAGAGGGAGAAAAGAAGCCAAGTGGATGGGTCCAGTCTCAGGAGAAAGGCTGATACAGAATTAGGGTGAAACATATATGAAAGCATGGATTATTAGTATGGCTAAGGCAAACAGAAAACTATTCAAAATAAGGAAGACATGAAGTGTTTTGTGAAATACTACTTACACTTGTGACAATAAGATCATTTAAAAAAATAAGCTAGCAAAATTCACTTCCTACAGCTAGAAATATACATAGATTTTATTTTAAAGTATGGAACATGCCATTCAGAGGCATTACGATGGCACATAAGAAGTGGGGACACTATGAAATTGTTATTAGGATCCACAACCAGCCTTTTGTCGGTTCATGTGGCTATAGCCCACCACTTGGGCACCAGCATCCCAGATAATCAATCTGCACATTTACCCACTCTAGTACTTTCTACTGGTAATTCTTACAGCTGCAGGTGTCCATCTGTGTCTCTATCCCAATGTGAATGAGTGTTCAACAATACAGACTTCACAGAGGTATTTAAAAGTCTGTTTCCCTTACAACTACTTTCCTAGAGAGAGAAATACTGTTTGGTAAATGGAAAGCTATAAAAATTGATGAAGAGGATCATGAGAAGAAATGGATACACAGAAACAGGCTTAGGAGGCAAACCTATATCCACTTTGTTTCTAAAATAATAAAAACCAACAGTAGAGAGAACTTGTCTTTAACACAGCATGCATGGGTAATACGGTTAAGGCTTACAATTTCAACAGGCGCAATGCTCCGCACCAGCTGCTGGAGGAGTGTAGCTTCACAGTAGGGAAATTTCCTAATGCTTTCTCTGATGATCTTTTCTTGATACACTGGGAAGCCATCAGAAGCTCTGCCTTTCAACAAGCTGAAAGACATTTTTCACACAGTTCAAGTCAAATCACTAAGCAATCCCTCCTAAGAGGACCCCAAGAACTTTTAGTAGTTTCTTGTTAGTTATGGTTTTCAGTGTCTTTTAATCAGGATGAGGGACTCGATCCAGATTGTTGTTCACTTGATCAGTAAGCTAGGCCTTATCTGAAAATCATAGGCAAAAATGACCCTACCATAAACAGCAAAGTACTGTTATCAGATTAGCTAGTTATTTATTACCATGTCAGTTCTTTGTGGGATAAAAGAAAACTCTCAGTGAGTCACACACCTAGTTTTTCTCAGTTAAGCTGGAGTCAGCTTGATTCCTGGTGCTCAGAGGACAAAGGTAACACACAGCTCTGCTAGCATCAGAGATGCACTAATAGCCACTTTGTGCCAGTGCCGGTCCAGTGCAGCAACCCACTTCATCTCAGATCTGAACTTTGGCCATGCTCTAACTGAATGGTCTTATAAGTTACTTACCCGTGTCAACTTCAGATTCCTCAAGAGTAAATCAGTGATAACAACAACAATGAAATAGAAACAACAACAGCAACAAAAAAGTCACTGAAACTCAAAAGTTCAACATTGCCCCTTATTTCTGGGAGACCGAGTGTGCTTCCAACATTGGCAATTACTGCTGGTAAAATGTTTAATCTTTTCAAATGTGTCTGATTTATTTTTATTTCATTTGTATGAATGTTCTTCCTGCATGTATGTAACTACACCACAAGCATGCAATGCCTACAGGCACCAGAAGAGGGTACTGGATCCCCTAAACTGGAACTGATGGTTGTTAGCTGTCATGTGGGTGCTGGGAACTGAACCCAGGTCCTCTGTAGGAGCAGCCCACTGAGCATCTCTCCAGCCCCTAATATGTTTAATTTTTAAATCTGTAACTAGACTTCCTCTAAGACTGTCACTTGAGCATATTTCATACATGGTTGGTAAAAGCAATACCTTTTGATCAGGGCGTCCAGTTTATTCTCTCCATCTTTTAGGAAGTTAATGCATTTCTGAAAGATGCAGCTGATATAATGCATTTTCATAGCCAATACTTCATTCATGTCCCTTTGCTTCATGCACTTCTCACAGATTAAATCCATCACCCTGTAGCATTTATTGAGAGCTGCTTCTTCTGCAAGCAGAGGATTCTCACTCACAAGCATCACAATCTAGAAGAAATTCCAGTGAATACTGATATTCCATGAGACTTCTCCGTGTACAAATGAAGGCCTCAGTTCAGTTGATTTCAAGAAATTCTCAAAGATTTTTCTCATAATTAGAGTTAACACACAATTTAAATCAGAAAGCAACCTGCTACTGATCAATGTTATAAAGCTGATACAGAAAAACAATGATAGTACAGAACTTCCTGGTGTTAAAGTTAGAAGGTGGTCTGTCATCTTCCTACACCAAGGTGTGTGCACGCCTCCCAGACCACATGATATTACAGTCTCTGAAAATGTACTTTCACTAAGGACAACCCTGTGTCTCTGTACAACCACTCCACAGAGGACCAAATCGCTGCGGATGCACTACTAAACTCAACAATTCTACAGCAAGAAAAACTATGTTCCTCCTCCTCCCTTTGCTTTCCCTTCCTTCTTCCTCCTTTTCTTCCTTTCTCCACCTTCCTTTCTTTCTTTTTGAACTTTTGAGACAGTGTTTCATATATCCCAGATTAGTCGCAGACTTGCTATATAGCCAAGGATGACTTTGAACTCCTGATCCTCCTGCCTCCAAACCTGAAGAGTTGAATTACAGATGTGCAGCACCATTTCTAGGTTATGAGGTTCTGGGAATGAAACCCAGGGCTTCCTACATGCTAGGTAAGCACTGTCACTGAGCTATAATCCCTAGTCCCTAAATTCTTATTAATTCTAGGGAAATCAAATTTTTACACAAAGGAGTCTAGGAACAATATAGGTTTTTAATTTCCAATTAACTATATTTGTTCGTGGAAATTTTCCTTAAGATGAGTCCAGTCACCTACAGTAATGCAACTAGGTCAAAATGGAAACTAGAAATAGCTTTTAAAGGAGTATAAGTAGTGGAAAGTTATCAACCATGTATATTATGAGTCCTGCATTTTCTGCTCATGAACTAATCAAGCTCAAATTTAGTGCAATGAGGAGTATTTTTATTGGCTTTGTTACAGGGCAGACTACGAGTGAAGTTAGTCTCCGTGAGACCACCATAAAGGTCCCTGAAGGCCTAACAGTAACACAAGGCAGTGCTGTATGCATGGGCAGTCAGTGCTTGCTAACCTATGGGTTTCACCTCAACACCTGTCCCAGGGACTGTGACTGTCAGGGAGGAACAGGGAACAGATTTAGTGAATTACATTCTTCTCTTCAAACATGAAAACTCATCTGAACTAATACCCATGTTTAGCCTCCCACCTGGAAATCTAACACAGATTCAATGATGATAAGAAATTATCTTTGACACTACTAAGTTTACATATAATCAAATATTTTCTTAAAATTCACCACTTAGATCCTCAGGCCTCTTGGGGTAAGTCTACAGCGCAGCTCTCCGCGCCTCGACCCCACAAGCCACATTCACCCTTCCATCTCCCTCGCTGTTCACTACTCCTAGTTTGGGACCTGCGCCATCCCTAGTCTTGGGGCTCAATGTCTTTTTGTTTGTGACAAAGTCTCACCATGCACCCTAGGCTAACATCAAACTCCTAATCCTCATACCTCAGCCTCCTGACAGGTGATGTTAAAGTTTTTACTGTCATAACAAACAGTGAAGTCTTAAAAATATGTATATATAGCACTCCAATCCTCAGGCCTCTTGGGGTAAGTCTATAGCGCAGCTCTCCATGCCTCGACTCCCCAAGCCACATTCACCCTTCCATCTCCCTCACTGTTCGCTATTCCTAGTTTGGGACCTGCGCCATCCCTAGTCTTGGGGCCCCAGACATAGGGGGAACCAATACTGCTTCCTGACCCTTCTCACCCACACCAACATAGTGCCTTTCTGATAGGGGGAACCAATACTGCTTCCTGACCCTTCTCACCCACACCAACATAGTGCCTTTCTGGGGCTCCAGGAGCACCGCTTCTGGACCTGGCCCCGCCCTCACCTCCCTCTACTTCCCTGGTCCTGCAACACCTGTCAGCCTCTTGCTGGGGCTGACAGCCACTTTCTGGGGCTCCGAGGCTTACCATTCCTCTCCCTGATCCTTTGCGTCCAGTACAACCCAGCTACTCAATCCACTCCCTGGGAAATCTTGGGGCTTCTTCCCACCCCATCTGCCTTTGCATCCCTGCGTGGCTCAGCCACTGGCAGGGTCTCAGGTCAGTCCAACACCCAAGTTCCTGAGGCCAAAATCATTCTTAGAAGATTCCAGACCTAAGGAGAAAGTCTGAAAACTTCTGACCCACATTGGAATTGGGCCACCGCGGAACTCCTGAAAACAAAATCAATCCAGCCACGACAATAAAAAATCAAAAGAGAGAACCAGAAGCTTAGAGGAACCAGCTCTTCATACCCAAAAAGTAAACCACAAAGACACATAAAGTTCAAAAAAAGAAGCAGAACTAAACTTGAAGGCCCGAGTATCACACAAGAGTCAGAAACTACAAAAGAAATTCACATGTCAAAATCACAGAGAAAAAATAATAACATGAAAAACCAAAATAACATATCCCCAC